GCATGTAGGGGACAATAGGCAACATGTGTAGGAAAAGAGAAAGTGTTTATCCTCTAGGAGCGCTCTTTCTGAATTGGAATGTTGGCCAGGTGAAATGAAAAGGCCAATAAGTGGGCGATAAGGAAAACTGATATGGGGATGCAGCTTTGTGATTGTATAGTCTCAGCTTCATTCACGTATAACAATCCTCACTCTATGTTTTATAAACAATTCCGTTATTGGCAGGTCATGCACTTCACAACAAATTTATTATTGAATAACAATAAGCAGGTTTTATAGGTTAATATGACAAGTGACTAAAATGCTCTTCAAAATTAACTAAACTTCATCGCATTGAAATTGAAGAGAAATTAAAATCTGGGAGTAGCAAATGTGGTCTTTACTGCTCCACTTCGAACACGTCTTCAGGGATATTCATTTTCTCTGCATAATCCTTGAACATTGCTTTATCAGCGGCTGATATTGGAGCAAACTGAAACGGACTATCTTCTTTCTTGTTTCTATTTTCGTTTGCAATCGCATAATGTGAAATGATGTTAAACCTTGATATGCGTTAACTTCTGCGATGAGAGGAATGTTCCTTGTTGAGAGTCATTATTTTTACATTCTATCGCATCGCGAACACAAGATAGCGGAAATTCTATCTGAAATTGCACACAATAACAAATACGGCTGTGTATACGTATGACTATGCACTGCAGATGGTTTCCAGGATCCAGATATGTTCCGAGCTCATCAGCAAAGAGTGAGCTATGAGCATATCTGCTTCCGGGAAAGTAACAGTAGTTTCTCAAGTTTTGATGTGTACCTGGCTCACATCATGTGCAAGCTCTACTCACCTCCCAATTGAGAGACGGATTTGCTGCTATAGTGTGTAACTGACCTCTGTGAACAGCGAAGTCAACACATTTTCGGTGTCCTTCATGAGTTCATGGAACCATACGATAGGATGACAGTACATTTTTTTGTTCTGCTCGTAACATGAATATGGTGCTGCGTAAACTATAGCCGCTGCAGCCTGAAGAAAACAATTGTTGCCTGTTGATATTCGCAAATCCTCGATATCAACAGAAGATTCAGTTGAGCTCACCCTTCTGTCATGGGGATGAAGTATTCTGTTCCATTTACCCTCACCAGCAGTCAGCCAGCTGAACCATCTAGTCACAGCTGGAGAGTAATTGTACATGTCTGTCAGAATGGTGTTCAAAAAGTCCTCTCTAAAACAACTGTTTTTTTTTCTAACTTGTTCGAGTAAAGAAATACTTCCCCTTCGGAAGTCTCAAAGCTTGTAACTAAGAAACAGCAGAAAACCAAAGAACACAATTCTTACCGCCGCATCACTTTCTCAACAGACAGGAGACCCTTCTTTCTAAACATAAAGATATGCTTGAGATTTGAGATTCCTTCGCACAGTGGCACAAGTCTTGCTTCAAACGACTGCGTCTTCAGTACACACAAAACACCAGTCGGAAGATGAGATCGTAGACAAGTTATGGCTGCGTGGAGCAGTTGTCGAATTTCCTTTAAAAATCACGTCAGGCGTCAACCATGCATAGAACATCTGCACTGTTTTAAAATCTCACAGTTTCGCTCATAAATTCTTCTCCAAGGGCTATGGTAAGATTTGTGAGTGCGGGGTGCTCAGCGTAGCAAACACTCACTCCTGGTCTAAAATTCAATGCATTAAGCGACCCATTTACAGATTTGCATAATATATTTACTTTTTTCATTATAATAATGCGAATAATTACCAAAGTTATAGGCGCCTTATAAGAGAAAAGAGGAAAATAGAAAAAATGCAAGTATCCTAGGTTCGCATGACTTAGGTAACATTCCTCGAAAAAACTCTAAAACTTTCTTAATTTTTTTATGATATAAAGTGAATATAACGCGCTCACGAGCTCATTATTACGCAAAATGAACAAACCCAAAAATATCCTTTAGAAGATTGTTTCGACAAGCGCTATCTGCATGATAAGAATTTTAGAAAAGAAAGGGCTGACCTGTGCAGCATCTTTCCCAACAATGTGCTGCCACATCGAGCTGTGTTTGTGAACAATATGGTTTTCGGTTGAGGCTGTTTTTCCAATTTCTCAGCAAAATTCAAGAAATCGCTGCGCTTCACTTCTGCTACAGCTAGTGCCTGCAACAAGAACTTGCAAAGCAAGGCGAAGAAAAACAACTGAGAAATCAAAAACTCAAAATAAATAAAACCTACTTTTTCAAACAATGGGACGAAGATGAACGGATATTCGCTGATATTGTAACTATAAATAGGCTCAGGCAACAGAACAAAGAGTACATAATCCTAAAAATATGACGTAAGAACATTCCTCTTGTAACAATGAAATCATGCTGCTGATAGAGTAGCTTACTCTTTCAATAGTGTAGATAGTCCAATGTGAATTATTAAGCAATTCAATGCTTTCAAAATGTCCGCCGGCTAGCACAAAATCTGTTCTCCTTGCGATTTCCTCTGCATCAAGCTTATAGCGCCAGATAATCGAGAGCATCCGTACGTTACCATCAGGAATATCGGCTGTGCCAGCGGCTGCTCGAAAAGCCTTATAGATATATAATTAACCAATTTAAACGAGCCATGTGCCACTAATTGTTCTTGGCTATCTATCCTATGAAAATCTGTAACTTGGTTTTGACATCTCTTCACCTCTTTAATTTTTTGATATATATGTTGAATTAAGAGGTAGATCGCGTAGAATTGGAGTCGCAAAACAATCCAAACTTTTTCTTGTATAGTCTGCATTCTGAAATATAATGAAGGATTGAGAATACGAAAGAAATCAAGGGATCATCAATTAAAAACAATGATTCAACGATTTGAAACAACAGGTTTTTCCAGCAACTGGCATTTTAAGCTATAGACGGCAACATTTACATAGCGGGAAAACGACACTTTGCAGAGGTAAGAGATTATAAAGGTTTCCGTTTCTCCGGAATCACAAATCCCAGAAGCCGAGTAAAAGATGTATAAGAAAGGGATCCTGTTCAAAAATTAGTAATTTGAGGAAAAAATTTCATACAACTGCACAATTACTCGTGCCTAGTTCCATTCTCATCAGCTCTCCTTCACTCGATTTTCTTAGTTTGACGAAATTTCAAGTTCTCTTTTTTCTAAATCAATTTTAATTTATTGCCGTCATGCGACGTTCAGTTAAGGACGAATGTGACGACAACATGCATAAACATAAGGTTAGGTGGCATGTAGCAGAAGGAAGGACGGAACCGATTGCATGAAATAGAGTTGCGATCCTTTCGATTTGCATAATGCTAGGCCATGAATTATGACAAATCTGTACATCGACTATAGATGATTGCAAGGAAGTAGTGTAATGCGAGAAACTGATTGAGCCTATAGTATTAAATGGTGGAGGGGAACCTATGCGTAGTAAAATTTGCCCTTTTTGGCGACGGATCAAACATCAAACAAACAAATCGCTGATA